AAACACCCAACACCCCAACAAACAAACAAACAAACACCCCAACACCCCAACACCCCCCAACAACCCCAACAAACAACCCAACAAAGAAACAAACAAAAAAGCAAGCAAGCAAGCAAAAAAAGAAAAAACAAACAAACAACCAACAAAACAAAACAAAACAAAAAACCCCACCCCAACAGCCATGATTTATTCATGATGCTCAATGTGACTGTTAACAGATTTTTGTTGCAGTCTGATCAAAGCTTTTTTCATTTACTGCCTTTTTTGAAGACGAACCATGAAAAATTAATCAAACAATGAGAACAATATTTCGGCAGCTCATCTTACCCAAATGACATCGAGTCTACCCCGTGCGTCTGCCCACATTCTAACCGGAATCTGTGTCACATTTGACCTGACCATTTTCAGGGTCAAAATGACCCTCCTCTAAATTATCTGACCCCTTTCCTGTCCATTTACGAGCATGAAAGGGTCATCTTTCGACCCAGAAAGAGTCGGGCTCAACAGGACACAGGCAAATCTGGGTCAATCTGACCCGGGAATATTGAGAGTGCAAGTAATAATTAAATTTGCTAACTTTGTATTATGCCGCACACTATAGATCTTAAGTCACGAGGCGCGAAACTAGGTCATACCGGCCTTGTTTACACGATGGAGGGGAGGGCACGTTGACGGGGATACATGTTACGTGCTATCATCTAAATCGTGACATTGCATGTTTACTTGTAGTGCTTCTTATTGTCCTGTGAAATGTTTCCTCGTGATCAATTCAAGTTCGTAAACAACGCTTGAATTTGTTTTTTTTTTCAATGTGGATGCAAGTTGGTGTGAATTCCAATTTAAAAAAACCTTGGCCAGACGTTATAAAAATAATAGAATGTGCCTAAAATTCGGTATCAAACAATACATATGCGTATCAAAACTGTTGATTGAAACTTGAATATTACATGTAATCATATACATTAAGTGCATTGATGAACAACATCTTATACTTCCGATATCGTAGTTCATACCCGCAAACACTTTAAATAAACTTTTCAATACGAGAGCAAAAACTCTGCAATGACATTATACTCACATATTTTCTTACAAAGAAATTTCTCCCCCCAAGAAAAAAATGTGTCTTGAGCTTGGAATCAAAAACTGAGAGAGACTACCTTGCGAATGCTTTGTACTCTCTGTAAAAAGGTTATGGTTTCGTTAGGAGGGTCAGTCAGGTCAGTTGAATAACGACAAGCTTAAGGAATAGGACGAAACGGAACCGAGGAATCCATAGCCACTGCAGACCAACACATGAGCGCAATCTGAAGACCGATAAGTTTACAAGGAACGTGCGTGGGTAAACTTTCAATCCTTGACACTTTCTCATTAGGGCAAATTGCATCTTGGGTTGCAATCTGGTTTTAGGTTCATAGTGAAGTGAAAGCACGATGTGGTATTGCAGTCAATTACTTCTTTCGTTATTGCACCAGACCAGGAAACGACTCGCTTCCTTCTTGATAAGTTGCACTTTGATGTTAAGTGCACTATAAAAACGAGAATACCTTGGCATCCTCTGCACGTGTCCCTAAAACAGTTTCTGTTTCCACCGAACAATAGTTAACATCTGTAGCATGTCGTTAATGGCACAGGTTCAATTCTGACTCGGTAGCTGTATGAACCGTTAGCTCTGGTGGTGGCTAGCGTTCTCCTCCCAAAACGAACGAGATTTGCAAGTTTTATTATCTTCTCAATTTAAAGAAGATTTTTGCTACATTTTGTGATCAAAACTGCTCTCCCGGACCCTTGGCTCATTGCCATGAAGAAATTAAACAAAAGCAACGAGAAAGAAACTACTCGTATCCCAGAAGATCGGTAGTGTAGAAAGGAAACAAGTTAACCGTGTGCATAATTCCTTGGATGTTTGTGTGGAGCATCTTGGTGTCGTTAGGCCAAGTGTTCAAGTTGTTTGTCTGTGTATAAGTCAGGTCTGCTGGCTCACCCAGAGGTTTCGAGTATAAGTTTGAATAGTCAGCTCCACCTGTTTTCATGCATAATTATTACGGTATATTACAGCAATACAAGCAACATCTAGATACTTGTTTTCATTGGAAGTGAAAAGAAGAGTAGATTTTCAGTTCTAAGAAACAATTCTTCAACAGCACCTACCAACAATGCTTTGAAGAAATACTTGCCATTACTGTTGTCTAAACAAATTGTTCAACGTGAAAACTATATAAAAAGTGGAACCTACTCAAAACAGCGTTAATTGACAAGCGTCATACATAAATTGTACAAACGGCCAGAGAGACATTCCTGTTCTGCCTTGAATGACATGACACGTTGGCTCATGAATATTGAAATATCATTAGCATGAAATCCAAACATGTTGAAATTTCTCCCTTTTACTGGCACAAATGAGGTGGGGAGTCATCGTCACGGGTCAACAAAGCTTTGCTATGTGTAAAAGTCCTATTTATAAAATGCTCTCTCCCACACCCGTTTTTTTTCGAAATAAGTTCTGCACTTGATTTTTAGCACGTCATGTTGTGTCCTTTGTGCGTCTGTTTAAATGTAGCCTAACCTGTAGAATCCGGTATCAAGGAACTGTGAAGATTTTCATAGGATAAGGACAAATCCATCTCACCCTTGCTTCTGGCAGTGATTGCTAATGTGCTCGTGTCTGTCGTGGGGCTTGGCATGACCGTGTGTCATCCAGGGGAGGGAAAGGGGCGCTTAATCCTCCCGCAAAATAGTGGGGAAAACGCCAAAGGGGAAAAGGAAAGGAAAAGCAACAGGAAGCACGGATAGGAGAGGCCATTTTTCTTGAACATGCATTAAAATAGACCCTATTCACTGTTGACAGTCTTTAGCCAGTTTCTGTTAAATGTTTTGCGTTACTGAAAAAGTTATTCCCCTTTCCTGGCGACGCCAACTGAGCTGCAATTTCCATTGCGCCCCACATCATTTTAATAGTCGTTATTTTTCAGGTTATCTTTTTACATGTTGCAAGGCATAGCATTGTCATAACCCATGACACTCACAGTTCAATTTATTAATTTCTTCTTTTTTTTTCACATATAACTTCATTGCAGTTCCTCCAACTTCCGTCACAATAATAAATGGCATCACGGGAGAGGTATACAACCTACCAGGCGGAGAAGTTTTGATTAAAGAGAACGATAACGTTGCCTTCAGGTGCCTGGTGAACGATACCAAACCAGCTGCCAGTTTGGCTTGGTTTTTTAGGGGCCGCGAGATGTTGAACGGGCTGGGCAGAGAGGGGGAGTCGGCGGTCTCGCTCAGGGTCCCGGACGGGACGTACGACGTCAGCCTCCCCGTGGTAATGACGAACATCATGTGGACGGACGACGGTGGCGTGCTTGTTTGCAGGGCCACCGGACCAAGTGGCAGCTCTGCGTCTCTCGGCATCAAGATTAAGGTGGACGGTAAGCAAAAAAAAAAAAAAAAAAAAATCTAATTAGATAGAGGTAAATAAACACGAAACAGTGTTTTCTGATTTCTAATGGAAATACCGGCACTGCTGTATACACATTTATGCGTATTAGCTGACAACCGTCACACATACATGTATGGCTTGCAAAATTAACATTTAATCCCGAAATAGAGTTAGCTCTATTTCAAATAGAATGGAGATATCTCTATTAGGAATAGAAATATCTCCATTAGAAAGAGATAACTGCTAGAAATATTATTAATGGGATATCTCTATTTCTAATCTAAGATATCTTTATTGTTAATAGAGACATCAGTATTTAACGACAGAGATAGGTCTATTTCTATTTCAGATTAAATGTCAATTTTGCGTGCCATACGTAATTCTCCAGTCAAAACACTTCATATTCTTGAATTTTTATAGTTCCACCGCATAACGCATGTAATCCCGAAATAGAGTTAGCTCTACTTCTAATAGAATGAAGATATCTCTATTAGGAATAGAAATATCTCTATTAGAAAGAGATAACTGCTAGAAATATTATTAATGGGATATCTCTACTTCTAATCTAAGATATCTTTATTGTTAATAGAGACATCAGTATTTAACGACAGAGATAGGTCTATTTCTATTTCAGATTAAATGTCAATTTTGCGTGCCATACGTAATTCCCCAGTCAAAACACTTCATATTCTTGAATTTTTATAGTTCCACCGCATAACGCAACAATAACGACCGGTGTTCTAGTCGAAAATGTCCCCACCCAAGTCACGTGCTCCGTTGACGGAACACGCACGAGATCGTCAATGGTATGGTTCCTGGACGGTATCAGTGTTACAAACACCGAGTTGCAGGAAACGTTCTTTTCTCCGGAGCTAATGAAAACGACAAGCGTCACAACGTTGACTCCTCATAGAGGCCAAAGTGGCTCCATACTAAGATGCAAAGTGTTCCACGAACTTCTAGACGAGCCCTTAGTAACGGAAGAAACATTGGATGTATATTGTAAGTCAAGTCCTGCTTTCCAGCAAACCTGTCGAATATGTATACGAAAAAGATGAGGAAACCTTGAACTCTTTCATTTCTTTGGAAAATTGAGAATTAAGCATTCGCAGAAGAGATAGTGACTTTGTGAATTTAAAACGATAAAAAGATGTTGCACGCTTGTTGAAAATACGAAAGCCAATTATTCAAAACTGTCTGACAAAGTACTGAATGTTTACTTAGTTGCCGGGGTTTCATTAATCTCCATCAATATATGTAGTGTCTTGGAATTACCATTTATCACGACGAACTGACAATGGGACCCAAAAGCAGCCTGTTGCGAGAAATATCGTCACATCCCAGAAATCGTCTTCTCACGGTTCATGAGAAATCGAATTTAACTTTTGCTGATTTTTTTTTATTTCCCCTGCCGCAGTTTGCCCCGCACCATCCCTTTCTTGTCCTTCCTACGTGAACACCAGCGAACCGTACACTCTCATGTGCGAGACTGCCAGTAGCCGGCCACCAGCGAGTCTCAACTTGTACCTGGACGAACCTTTCCAGCAACTCGACACAGACGGCGAGACCGCACACGAGCCGGCTGGCGACGGGGGAACGACGGCCGTCCTGACGGCCAAACTCACAAGTGACCGGTCCCACTACGGGAAGACTGTCGTTTGCAGGCGGACCCCAAATGAGATTTGTCGAAGAGAGGCATCAGACGAATGCAGGCTGAACGTACACTGTCAGTAGAGAGTTATTGTTTAAGATACTGATAATAATTAATCCTAACATTCCATTCTTTCTTTTCCCAGCATCATTTTCCCTTTGACTGAAACCAGGTGTCCTAATGCTTGTCAACAGTTGGCATTAGTAATAAAAGTAACGAAAGTACTCATTACTTAGAAACAATAATTATGAATCTAAAAGTGACGCCTAGGGAATGTCAACTCTAGGACTCTTGAAAAACACTGTCGAAGCGAGGAGTAGGTTTTGTGACCACAAAAAAATACCTTTTTGTTTTGAAAACTACTTTCACGAATTATTCATGCACCCCTTTGAAATAGCATTAGCAATTTCAATACAATTTGAGTTTAATTAATGAAGTGTTTGGGAACCAGATTAACATAAAATAATCTTATTGGGGAAACAGGACAACTCGCGCCCGTTTCAGCTGACAAAAACAAAATATTTTCGGCAAATGTATCAGTTGGTTGGTATAGATATTCAGGCCATAATGATAAAAATAACCTGTCTGTTTTTCCACAGCCAAAATGACGTCAGCTTTAGCTAATATATGTTGCCACATTTCAACTGTCAAGGGGGGCATTCACTAAACTAAATGGTTATTTGGTTAAACAGTGCTAAAGCTAAGCCTTTTCTTTTTCGTGAATTTTGACGTGAAATGTAAAATTTTAAACAGGGGTAAACAGTAGTAATTTAAAACAGAGGAGTTTAGCGGGGCCATTAACCTATCAAATTACAATTTGGTGGTAAAACCATCTCTACTAATCATTAGTTTATTTTGCTGAATCAAAACGACATATTAATTGCTTTGTTCCAAAGTTCCACCCGCCGAAACCAAACTGTGGGACGGTGGCACCTCCAACAGCGATTCGGACCCAGCAAATGGCAGCGTAGAAGTAATACACGGCCGCGAGTACAGTTTCACGTGTGCAGCGTACGGGTCCAACCCGGCCGCGACATTTCGGTGGAGACTGGGAGACACGGAGCTCCGCGGTGCCGCCTACAGCAAGACCGAGCAGCGCGATTCAGTGGGGCTGGTCGGGGGATGGGACTCTTCCAGTCGGCTGTCCCTCACTGTTCAGCAGGACCAGCACCACGATAAGAGCCTGACTTGCCAAGTCATGTACCCCAGTCAAAATGTCTTCAAACAGCTGAGCTTGAAAATGAATATCATTGCTGGTAAGTCGTTCTGATAATAAGTTTTCTTTCTGTTTGGGAAGTGGCGAGAGAGTTACGTTGATTTCTCTGAACAACCCCCCAGGGTTTGGATGATGACCCCCCTTTACGAATGATTTTGTCCCGACTAAACTTAAGTTCAGGGAGTACAGAGCTGTTTTTCAGTGTTGTTGTCTGTGCGTTTAGGAGTCCAACTGAATCATCGTGTTTAATTAAAGAAACGTTCAAAATTAGCATAATGATCAGCGAATGTACATGCACAGTGAGAGGAATCGGTCTGGAGTAACCATAACATTTCTGTTCAGCCGTTCCATCCCTGTGAATCCCAAAGATTCAAACTTCCCCGGCATTTGCTAAAAATAGGGTCACATTGATCAGTTTGAACTTGATGAAATAATACACCCTCTTCCCAAATGGTCTGGTATTGTGCCGTACCGCAAATGCGCTATCATGGTTGTCGGCAGGCTTTCTTTTTTTGAGGGGGGGGAGGTAAACCACTTTTTTTCAGGGGAGGGGATTTCGGGGGGGGGCAAAGCTCTCATAAGCTTAGAACTGATAAACAACGGTGGGGGGGGTCAGTTTGACTTTTGTTGAGCAAACTGGTGATTGTCATCCTTTCTTTCCGTGCTTTTGTTTTTTTCCTCCCCCTCTCTAATTTTTCAATTTCTTTCCGGGGGCAGCCCCCTCGCAACACCCCCGTGCGCTAGTATGTTTCAAAAGATTTAGAGATTACTTTTCTTTGTTCAAAACCTGAGCTGTCTCATTTTGGATGTGTTTCCATAGTAACACTGAGTTGGTCTTCAATTACCATCATCATCGCCTGCTCCTCCGCTGTGTTTCTTGTCGTCGTCGCCTGTCTTCTCCTGATGCTCTACAAAATGTGTCGGCATGGAAACCGACCGTTCCCCATAGAAACCGACATGGAAATGCTGCACGTGAACGTATGCTTATTTCATTTTCCGAGGATTTTTCTCTTAGTGTTATGATTAGTTTTAAATGGATGAAGTTTACCATTGATAGAAATTGTCACTTCAGTGTCAGCTGACGCCATCAACAAAGGAATTATTTGTTCTTTAAACTCACTGGCAATTAATTTACATTTCTTCTAGCAGAGACCAGGCGTTGAATCAGTGCCAAGTCCAAATAACCAAAGATTACCACTGTCGCGTATCCTAATACCGTGTTTGATGAACAGCACAGAAGTGACGTAGATTAGATAACTATGCCGTTTGTTCCGTTCTTCCAGCGGACCATAAAGTTCAAAAAGGGTGGCAGCAATTCTTCGCTTTCGTCCCGTGGCACCGGTCAAGACTCATTCGACGGCAGCGAGGCCTATGAGTTCCCCCGTGATAAGCTGAAGTTGCTGGATGTTATTGGCAGCGGTTCCTTTGGTCTGGTCTACAAGGCCACAGCGGAAGGAATCTTCGAGAAGGGTGTGGCTGACACAGTGGCAGTCAAGACTCCAAACCGTGAGCCTAAGCATGTTTTGTTCTTCCAACCAATTTGTGAACTGATGAGTGCATAAAGACATAATTTTCCGGGCTGTTTCCAAACATTTGTTAAATTCAAATTCACCGATTCGTGTATTTAAATTCGAAAACACCGTGCCGAGAAAATATCCATCAATACAAGTTAAATTTGTGTGAGTTTTTGCTGACTGGTAGCGTCCAGATGTATTGAATTCGTTTAATAATAGGTCGGTCCCACCAATTTCATAAAACAAAATCGTTGTTTTCATAACACAAGGCCCGTTCAGATTCGTTTAAAGTGGAACGCTCCTTCGTTTCCGCATTATAGAACATCCAAAATTGTCATTTGATTTCATTATTTCAGCGGTCATTCGTTCAATAAATTGATTCAAATCCAAGTGGTCGATTCAGTCCTTCGGATTCGTCAGACGTCTCAGGAATTGGGTGATGAAGAGTTCCTTGTTTTTCGACCAGCATGTCACATGTTCGACATGCCTCCAATAAAAATCCGGCTCTTTGGTATACCATGCTTCCTGGTTCGTATTTGTGGGGATTTTCTTGGCAAGCAAAACAGAAAGGACTGAGAAAAAATGCACTGAGGAAAAACAAAAACAAACTTTGTGTTCGTGTAAACACAACAGCTACTGTAGGCATAAGCTTCCTTATTACACCAGCTTTATTTTCCAGGAAAGAGCAGTAGTTGCGAATAATTGCACAGTGTATGTTATAAATATATATAACCCAAACTGTTTCCGTGAAAAAAGCCCTAATTTTACTTTAGCCGTTATAAATGTTTCATTGTGGAATGATTAGATAAATTGAAAAAATAAGAGAAAACTGAATTGTACCTGTATTTTTAAAATCAAGACAATGATTATGAAATCTGCAGATCACTGAATAGCATTTGAAAGAATGTGGCGCAACACCTAATTCTAAAATGAAAGCTTAAAGTTTGAAATACTTTGACTATGAACGAAAACGAATCCTTTGCGCTTCGAAGGAATTTAATTTTATTGCATCCATGATCAATTCGTAGAAAGTCAATAGAAATTTATTCTTACGGCATGTGAAAATGGAGAGCGGAATGCCCATCAAACGAAGTAGACTTAATGACCCAAACTTGCACCCTTTTGCATGGAGACGATGATGAATGCGATAATTACATGTGATCAACAAAATTCAGGAATTTGACGTTTTACATTAACATTTCAATGCTTTGAAATGCATCTTCTTGGTCGCAGCATGCGGATCATCAGCAGATAAAGAAGAATTCTTGAGGGAACTTGAAATGTTCCCTATTCTTGCCAAGCATCCCAATGTGGTCTCATTGCTGGGATACTGCCGGAAGAAAGGTAACCATAGCAACTCAGACTGTGAGGAACAAATCTGTGCACCGCACATAACTTTAGCAGTGGTTTTTCGTTTCAATTTATTTGTCAAAAAAGAGAAAAAATACAAATTAATTTGCCCTAGGGCTGTTTTCAAATGGGTCATTCCAAAATTCTGAACAATACCGTAATTAATGAGCTTCCTCGGAGCATTTTAATCGCATCACCCATAGACCTTGAAATTGACCTGGGTCGTAGGCTAGTAACTGGATCACTCCTTTCGAATTATAGAACCACTATATTTGATCATGGAGTATGTCCCCAATGGTAACCTGGAGAATTACCTGAGACAGGAGAAGCTGCGAATCGACCAATCGTACATCAACTTGAATGATGTGACGGAGACCGTTGGCCCCACCCAGCTTTTGAACTTTGCCATTCATATTGTGCGTGGTATGAAGTTTCTTGCGTCGGTACAGGTATGTATCAGTACTCATTTCAATGAACTGAAAGTTTGTGTAAAGAACTGATGGAATAGTTATTTCTTAGCAGCACAAAGGGAGTCCATGGTTAATTCTTTGATTCTAATTTCCAACTAACTCTTATTTTTTTGCTTCCACTGAGAAAAAACAATGCAGTCCACCCTCACTGGAATTTCCTACGGAGAAAAAACTAAGATAAAATGATAATAACCTTAAGAATTTCCAAAGATAAGCAAGCAGGCTGACCGTCTAGTGAAAAAGATGAGAACCATAGAATAAAAAACAGTCACCCTAAGTCGCTTTATCTTTAGACCTCAAGATCGATTGCAGTTCAGCAATATTTTTATTCCAAAATATATTGCAACGAGAAGTTAAATCCTCGTTACTTTCCCCGGTCCTAACTTTCAAAGAATGTACTATGCCTGTGATTTTTTACAATGGAGTCCTTTGAACGGACCAACTACTGTCAAAGCAGCATTCTCTGAGCTTGTGATCCTTTCTCTTTCTTTTGTGCTTAATCTTTTGTCCTGCATTCCTCTTGGCTGTTATATGTTTGTAAGACATCTGGAGGTCTGTTCGTTGATTTTTCTAATTCAACTGTGGTGTTAAAGAGAAAGTCTGAAATCCGACTACCACTCGTTGTCTCCTCAGTGCATTCACCGCGACCTGGCCACTCGTAACATCTTGTTGGATGAACAGCTGGTCTGCAAGGTGTCCGATTTTGGTCTGGCGCGTCACATCGCAGCGCAGAAGCAGTACGAAATGAAATCAAAGGTAGGCTATATAAGCATGCTATCCTTAATCTGCCCCCAGTCCCTTCTTGTTGAAGTGGGACCGTTAATGGCAGCATGTGAGAGATTTGGGTCGTAGATGGGGAATTTGTTTTCTGAGAGAAAAATGACCTAAAGTTTGAGTCATTACGCTAGCAACAAAAGGGAAATCTGTTTAAAAGAACATACAAAATAGCAAAGTTTTCCCCGGAGTGCCCTCACTTGCGTGCAAGACAACTGTGGTCTTCAAATGAGTAATGATTTTGTTCTGGTTCATCAGTGTGTTCATAATTCACAGTCGACACAGTGTCCAAAATCGTGCTTGTCAAAAATCAATCAAGATACGCTTAAAATTAACTGTATATATAAAATAATGATTTTGAAGATTCGATGGGATCAGTGTGAAGGTTAAGTTAGGCCTAATCTGTCATTTCTAAGATGTGCTTTGTATTTTCTTGTTTCTTCAAGGGACGAGTGCCGTTTCGTTGGATGGCACCCGAGTCAATTCTCTGCAATGTTTACAGCACGAAGAGTGACGTGTGGTCCTTCGGCGTCTTGCTGTGGGAGTTAGTTACACTGGGTAAGGTCAATTTGAGCCCTCAGCAGGCCAAGAAAGTTCGCGGGGTGGCTGTGGCGTCGAAAGCTTTTCTATCATCCCTTCGTTGTTCCACGTTTAGACTAATCGTCAACCGGCATTTTGTGTTAGAAATAGTGGGACTTAATGAGGAACTCGATTAAATCTTATTCTTGAATGGTTGAGCCTTAGAGATCATACCTGAAGCAGCGGGAAGTCAAAGCTAACTGCATGAAATAAGCATGAATACGCATCAGTGCAGAAAGTACAATTTATATACCTGTACATTTTTTCCTGTCTGTCCAAGGTTCGCATCCATACCCTGGCCAATCATGCGCTGAAATACTCGAGGATCTTCAAAGGGGAATCCGTCTGAAGAAGCCAGCTCATTGTAGTGACGAAATGTGAGTTGCCTCAGTCGCGCATCAAGTGGCTTTTTGAACTTAATCGATTTGAATTGATTAAAATTACTTTTGCCAACCGTTTACACTTGTAATATCACATTACCAAATTCTACGAGCGAAAGAATAAAAAGTAAATTTCAGTACCTCTTTAATTTAGATTTGATTGTTATGCATTGGCAAACATTACTTTCTCGCTCTCGATTTCACACTGTAATTATTTCAAGTCGTTTCTTTAATCACGAAGAGTTCTAGGACGAAAAATATAAAGACCTTTTTGCCTTATCATCCTTTTCACACACTGTTTCTATACAGCTACCAGCTAATGAAGGATTGTTGGGAACACCGACCGGAGGAAAGGCCCGACTTTGAGACCATACATCAGAGGATAGAGGCAATGCTGGCAAATGCATCGGTAAGAAAACTGTTTTTAAAGTTAATAAATCGACAGATGAAGTTGTAGTGAGAAATGTTTCATTTCATTCAAAGGAAAAACGGATGTAATTATCATGAAATTTATTATTTTTTTCGCAATGCCTGCTTAATGCCTTTCTCAGGTTGTCATAGCGCGTAATTACGAGGGCCTCCTTGTGTTTAGGGGAAGACATAAAAAGGGGGCTGTAATGGAGAAAAAAAATGTACAGTTGTGGTCGAAGATTTACATAAATTTTCACTGTAATTGATCAGTGTCATAGTTAGGCTCTTCTTAGAGTGGTGAGTCAAAGCGGAACATGGCTATTATTCTTGGGGTAGGGGTGAATTCCAATTTGATTCAGGGCCTAAAGTAGGTCTATGTCCAAACTAAAGTCATGCATATCAACACACTACAGGGCGTGGCAAAAGCCCCCCCCTCCAAAAAATCCCAGTTTTCCAGAGGGTGCAAGGCAGATTGCCGACTCGAGTCATGTGACTTGGACTGAGTCGGACTCGAGTCGCTATTTGTGTGACTTGACTTGTAAATACCAGCTTTGACTTGTGGCTTGACTTGAACTTGCCAAAACCAACCCAAGTCAGATGCTACTCGATAGGCCCCATATTTTAGGCTCGTAACTTGAAGCCTGGTTCTATTTGCTGATTACAGCTGGCCAAAATAATGTGCAGCTTGACTTATACTTGGACAAAGAGACTTGTGACTTGACTTGACTTGGATTGCAAAAAAACGACTTGCTGCCACCTCTGGTGCAAGTGGGTTGCTAGTATTAGTTCCTAACGGCAGTTGCACCCTTGCCTTTCCCCACGACACAACTGGTTTTAATTAAAATTTGATGATTTCATTGCTGGCAACATTCCTCTTCTGAGTTGATCGACCAGAATGTCTATACTGTCCCGTAAAACTTTAGTTTTCAGGTTGATGTAAACACATGTACATGTAAAGTGAATGTGGTGGCTGCGTAACGACTGGTATAAGAAAAGAATGATTACCAAGAACTAGCACAGACACTTCCGGTCCAAGTGTATGTAAACGTTTGACCTACTTGTGATGAATATGTATGTACCTAAACATTCCATTCTATACGCCTTCTCTTACGCATGTAGGGTTACCTGTTGATGTCGAACTTTTCCACGGAGCAGTACGTGTACATGGCGCCAGGAAGCAACTAGAATCGACTGTCGGGGGATCGTTTATTTGTACACATAACGTGTTTGGGTACAAAGCCTCCACCATTATAACAAAAAACTTCTTAATACCGAATTTAGTTTAGTAGTTTTTGAATAATAATTTGGATTTGAATTATAACTCACAAACAGTCTCTCTATACCACAGTACTTTATCCGAGCGTGCAGTCTAACTTTGATAGGAATTTCCTCCTGTCAGATGCGGAGTCCGAAGAGAATGAAACAATTTGGGAGTGATTGTTTAAAAAACGACAGTTGCAAGGAAGGATAAACTTTTTTCCGTCATAATTTTTCCTTTTTCGAAACGTTAACCAAACTTGTTTTTCATTTTTCAGCAATAATGTATGAACCACAGTGTTTGACATTGACAAATTTGCAGCTCAACATAGGTCATTATCACCAATACTCTTTTCTGGTTTAAAAACCTTCTCAAGGCAGTGAGAGGAAATTGTTCACAAAATAAACTTACTGCTTGTCGCCTAGACTTGGTTTGCTGTATAGTAACTTGACTGGTGTATATTGCAGTCAGTAACTAATCAGACAATTCTGTTGTAAAATGATGTAATGGTTTCTAAAGTTTACATTCTACTTTTTGAAAGATTTCAAAGTGACGAATCTTGAAAAGAAATTTAATACGAATAACGTAAGTCAGCTCCATTTATTGATAAGCCGTATATTTCATTGTTATGATCAGAAAACCAATTTAAAAAGGAAATGTATATATTAATGCATGCAACGACCTGTTTTACGAATCAGCGGGTAAATTCCTAAAGTTTATTTAACGGCGAAACTCTGTGGTTTTTCTCTTTTGTTCTGAAAGGATTAGAAATGCGGCTATAGTTTTAAACAGCAACATGTTTAAACTTTAAACGTATGAAAACCATAATGGGCATTACATACCATAAGTCATTCTGAAAGGTTTTAAAACGACTGAATGGTTAAAAAAAGGACATTTAAGGGTCCAAAAATAATTACAGGAGACAATTTATGTACGTAGCGGGTGGAAATATTTCAGTCATTTCATATTGCTAAAATTGAACTGATTTGAAATATCACTCATATTTTTAAATTAAGAGGCGCAAACGCACCGCGAAGCGTTATGTACACAACTGCTTTTACACAATAAACGGGAATATGCAATTTCAGTAAATATAGAATTAAGATTTAAATATATAATATTATAATTAAATACTATATTTAATGTAGAACTTTTTCTTGAAGAGTGTGCATTTTATATTCTTGTACATAGGCCTATGTTCTTTCATAAATGGAGTGTAACATATAGGCCTATAAAGTAGACACACTGTTCTTATAATCTTATTGAGCAATAACGTAAATTATATGGCAACAACAGTTTATCTAATGTTTTTGTATCAATCAAGACTTTTGACATGACATGTCTTATATACGACTGAAGTGGAATAATAGCGTGATTATAATGGCATTCTCTTACTTCAAAAAACCCGAAGTATTTAAAATTCGGAGCAACACAGCGAACAATCTGAAATAAGATTCAAACGTCTTTTTTGTGGTTGAAATTTACACTTTTTTAATGCTGAGCTGTATTAGGGACATGGATTTCCAGCGCTATACGCATAGACTGCATTTATCTACAAGTCTGAATAAATCGCATTGAAGTACATGTGTTAAAGTATTTTCCAATGAAATCGATGTTTTAAATCCATTCCCTTCAAGGATGTTTCAACACTACCGATTCTTAAGTCCCAATGTTTCCAGACTATTTACCAATAATGTGTAAAGTGAACGGTGCCGAAGGGGGTATGCAGTTAACATTGCCATGTACTTTCCATATGGCAAAATCTGTCTGTGCTCCCGGGGTTGAAATTAGAGCTTCGAGTGTATTTCCAAAGATGACAATTTTACCATCAGGAAAGGAGATGACGAAGAAATAAATAAAGAGCACTTAGAGCTCTTCAAGAGAGTTTCTTGTAGAGTTTATTCTTCTATGTCCCACCTTGGCACGATGTGTGCATCGCAATCACACCGACCCTCGAATAGTAAATCACTGATCCATGCGTGGGGGACGATGTAACTGTTAGGATCTTCAAACTTTGCCGATCTCTTTTCTTCCATGTTCTTTTGCCTGTGCTTCACGAGTAGCCCAAGTAGGTTTGAAGGCACGTGATCTGGCAACTCCTGAGACGAGCGCTGTTTATTAGAATCATCCGCTGGCTGTTTAGGTTGAATGGAACTGGCCATATTGTAGGAGGGAACATTTGGAGCAGTGGTTAGTGTGTCTAACAGCGAAGGAACAGCTTGTACGTCCAAGTCACGATCCGGCTCAGAATGACTGTTCTCGAAAACATCATGATCACTAAGAACTGGAACGCCAAGCCCCATGACATCTGGGCACTCCGATGAACTCCGCCGTGCCACGAACGGTGCGTCGGGGGTGTGCGTGGGAGCCGTCGGCTTGAACCCCACAGCCGGTTCACTCCTACTGAAGGCTTGTGCTATTTGAAACTCGGCATCTGTAGGAAGCATCTCATAACAGTGCAGGTCAGGAACAACATTGTCATCTTGGTCGTAGAGCCCTGCCATGCCGTGAGAAAGCTAGCTCTGCTCTCGACAGTAGAACTTCAACTGGGGGTGAGAGCGGTCACGACAAAGTCTAACTTTAAGAAAACACAAACCAGCAAACCAGGCAATCATGCCAACGTGGTGGCAGAAGCAATAGATGAACAAAGCCTAGGGGCCTATGCAAAAGGATGCAAAGTTCAGACAACTATTGAGAAAATGGCCATCATTTGTACAGCATTAGTTAGGGCCCAAAGTCAGGACTAGGCTTACAGGATAAACTACATGACTGGCCTACAAATCTGATAAACAAGTACTGAAGTAGGGCCTATACTATTGACATGATAGAAAGACCTCACGCGCGCCCGGCGGAGAAAGTAGGCCACACCGCGTACGCAGCGTGACACCAATAAAATTACTCAACCTTCTATACGACTGAAGAACAGAATGAAGGTTTTCACTTACCATAGGCTAGGCTATAAACAGCGTTGGATGTATGCACTAAAAGTTGGGTTTAAAAAGCATGTAGGTAGTGAAACGTTTACCTTTTCTTCAAATTTCCCGCGCCTGAATCAAAGTTTTATACGCGCGACTTTTTTTAGCAAAGCATTGTGGGATGGCCCTTTAGAAAATTCCATCCTGGAAGAGGATCAAAGTCGTCAACTTAACACATACTGCACCAAGTAATCGACAGATACGAGTCAGCTATGTGTCAAAACTCATTTTTGAAGAAATTCTTGAACATATTTCGGTATCATTTTAGGGCAAATATGTCCAGGGAATTTGAGAGAAACTGTAATTAATTCGGTAAGAGACGAGTTTTATTTCGTGTGACGAAATATCCCCTTTCTGTGAAAAATAGAATGATCTCAATCATAGATAGGCACCCGGTTGGCACGAGTGTTGTTTCGCCGAGCTCATAAGGCGGGATATGGGCTACCTAGTCTTTATATGGCCAATATGCCAAAGATGTCATCTTTTCCCGACCATGCTGACGTTTTCAGCTGAATTAATGCATTTATAGCAGCATCATGTGGCAAGAAGCGAAGAAACAAGAGCGAAAGATACATGGAATCATTGTAGATTATAGGAAAAGAGCTGAAAGAAGGAGAGAATATTATGAAAAGATTGTAAGTGAAACGTGTAGTTGGTTGGCCTTAAGGCCCAGAACGCCCAGGCCTAAATGTGTTTAACCAATTTCGTGAAAGAAAAAGTTGGCACTATTTTATAACAGATATTGAGGCGAAGTACACAATTTTCACGTCGCCCTATCGTAAATGGAAGTTACCTTCTTAATAATATTGTTCAGGAATTCTAAACATGTTCAGTGTTTCCAAAGTTTAGCGCCGCTAAATCACCTACGGGCACTAGGGCTAGTACTGGTACTGCATGGGTGTGGTGTATGCGTATGGAGACAGCGTATGGAGGCAGTCCACTGCCTGAAACCCGTTTATGGGGCTAGGTCTACCAGATGTCCTTTGTTAAATATGTTAAATGTTCACGTTATACCTTTCGTGGTCAAAATATAACCAGCATGATCAGTATAACATGTTTAAGTCCAACATGTAGGGTCAAATTAAACCAACTTAAAATAATACTAGTTAGGCATACATGTACATGATTGAACATGCTGGATTTTTGTCAGACTGGGAAAGAGTTCCTGATGCGGACAACACTTAAAATAAGTAAATGCTTCAAAATTTTCTCAGCTAAACTTCACTTTTTGGGACATGCTATCACTTTTTGACAGCTGTTAATAACATTTAAGGAAAAATTAGTTTTGTCCGTATATGGAACTGTTTCCCAGTCTGTTATGTCTGTCATGGGAGTGTCATGCTGTACTCAGCATAAACAAGTTTCAACAAAGTGTCAAGATATATATTTCTCAGGGTGGATTGGCATCAGAGAAGATGTTAATTGAATCTTGTGTTTTTATTTTATTTTTTTTCCCTGCCCGACATGTGTTGTAACACTTTAGTGTTTTCTAAGTAAACGACTTGCTTTTTCCCTCCTAAATTGAACTTTTCTGGACTTTTTTTGCTTTGAAGGCTAATAGGTCACTGTAGGGAATAATTACTGGCATCCGTATATGGAACTTTTCCCCGCAGTGTTTCCCCTGAAAGCTTGTGAAAAACACCACAAGCGTACTCGGGTGGGACTCAAACTCACAAATTCCTGCTTACCAGTACAGACGTCTTAACCACTCGACCACCCAGCTTGCTGGTGTCGGCTGGTTGGTTCAAGTCAGATGTAGCAGCGGGTACTGCGAACAACTGTTTCTTAGGATGGATTGGTGTTGGGGAGATGTTAATTGAATTTTGGATTCAAGCTTGTTGGTCAAATGGTTAAGATGTCTGCACTAGTAAGCAGGAAGTTGTGGGTTCAAGTCAAGATGTCTGCACTAGTAAGCAGGAAGTTGTGGGTTCAAGTCCCACCAGAGTACGCTTGTGGTTTTCTTCACAAGTTTGCGGGGAATCAGTGGGTACATAGTGTTACAATACATGTTGGGTAGGGAAAAAAAATCCAAAATTCAGTTGTCAACAGATACAAATACAAGCAGTTTCATGCACTGAGAATGTAAGAACTGATTTTGTTTATTGACAATAAGCCAGGTTTCCATATGGTCATTTGTAACGTGGACAGTCCACAACACGTCAGGTCAGACAGTCCGGAAGAGACGCGGTGCGATGTCATACCACCAAAAAATTAAACAAAATGGCGCCCAAACAAAACGAGTGGTACTAAGCGAGAGAAACATCGTTGTACGCCCGTCATGCCAGCGCGCGTGTTTGTATAGGCCTACTCAGCGACTTGATGCAGACATTCGGCAAAGTTGAGCCTGAGTTGTTTGGGGCTGGTTTGCGTGTGTGGCGACACTTTCGTTTGACATGTTTCCATTTGTCTGTGTTGCAGTTTGCGTTGCTCCCCGCGTTTCTCACATTGATGTGGAAACCAGGCTTAAGTTAGTTCAGTAATGCTAAATAATACCATCGGTCCTTGGTAACGTGCTTGGGTCTGACAGTGTCTAAGTAGTTGAGAGTTCAATACCTTGGCAAATCAAGGATAGTACATGTTGTACATGAAGTTGAATTAAGGTAGGTGGCATGTGTACCCACAGGATCCAAAACTGAGAGAGAAATAAGGTTTTTAACCAGAGCAAGTAGAGCAGAGGAATATGGTGAACAACTCATTTTGGAAAGGAGCCAAATGTGGTGAAAAAGTAAGGTTGGGATAGTATGTGCTTTTGTAGTGAATTTCTTCATCACCCTGTCAGTACTGTTTGTTTTGCAGAAACAAGATCCGACCCAGTTTTTGAGGGTTCATGCAACAGCATGCAAGATACACCTGGATCCTGCCGTGGCCCTAGCTGCAGAAGGACCTGGCACAATGTGAGTCCTAGAGAAATCGACAGCCAGGAATTTGAAATTGAGTACCAGGAGTTGGGTCAACGGTAGTCTCATGAAATGGTCTGCAGACAAGGCAATTTCCTGAGGCAAAGTTGTGAAGTCTTACAATAGTCTGAGTGGGATTACTTAAACTATGTAACTTCACATTTTATTTCTCTTAACCTTCCTATGCTGAAGTCACTCTTTGGGTCAATTAATCAGCAGCACAAAGAAGCCCAGCTGTGTCGTGTTGTGCACTGCACCAACAGTCCCTCACAGGAATATCAAGTTGCTCTTTTGTGCTGCCCAACAACTGTGCTTCACTGTTTTTAATGTGCATCATTGTGCAGTAAACCAAATGCAGTGAAGAGGACTGCACAAAAGACCCTGGGTCATTTTGTGTTGGCCACCAACTGTGTACACACTGAACCTGTGCATGTTCGTGTTCCATGTAGAAAACACATGCACAAGAGTGACTGTTGGCATTCATGCATATCTGTGCTGTTAACCATATGAGGGTTAATGTGTACAGATGTATGTTTGAAATTTCACCCTGGAGAATTACTTTTGATACCATTTCAATTTCATGCAAATCTCATTCAGTCATTTTGACTGACTTACCTTCAATGTATCTACTATTTACATTCGTAAATTTGATTTGCTTGGACTCAATTTAACTTCAAGGCGCAAAGCCAGTTGTGTTATTTTGAAGAATTTGGCTCATCAAGCGTGGAACACTTTTTCCAGTAAGGTCGATAACTTTTGTAAAAGTAAAGTGACTTATACAAATAATCACGATCAGTCTAGATTTTGTGCAGAACCCTAGTACACAGAAGACAGTCGATTTGAGATCGGTATGAGGCCCATTTATTAATTAAGCTCCCTCATCCTTCAAAATCTTTCATCAAGAGGGTTAGGAAGATTTTGGAGGATTGATGAAGGACTTGAGCAAAGAGTACCAGGGGAGGAAGGGTCAAAGTAGCAGGCCCTAAGGTCCAAGTACCAAAGCAGTGGTGGCTGAGTGGCTTCAGTTAGAAAGGATGCATAGAAAAAATTGTGATGCTAGACGTAAAAAAATGCTTGCCAAAGGACATGGACTCAAGTACAAGAGTTCAGGCACATTCTTTGACATTTCTGGCTCGTCTTTTTTGTACAAACACTCAGATTCCTTCTAACTCAAATGCTCAAATATTTGCAACATATTGTCTTGTTTTTCAAACTAGATTCCTCATATGCTATGTCATTCTTGGTATACTAGTTGGATGTTCAAAGTACTTGAATACAACACAGTGCAACTTCTTTCTATTTCTAGGATGCCTTGGCAAGGAGATACCACCATTATGATTGACCGCTTCGACGCCCGAGCCCATCTGGACTTCATCCCCACCCAGAGCGTGATTTCGGCCATCTCACCAGCTCCCCATGATCCCGACGAAGACAAGTGCTTCTATGAGCGGTATCGAACCCTAGTGCAGAATGAGGGTGCCGGAAGTAGGTGATCATTCAGTCATGTCAAACCCGATGAGCATCGTTTTAATCGCTTTTTTTCAGGGAATTGCTAGACTCCGGGAACGCAATCCAAAATGAAGTCCCCTTGAATAAGGTCTATTTCAGTTCCCGGAAGCACTCCTCACTCAACCCACACAACAGCTGACAACCGGAGAACACAAAAGGACAAAGTCATTTGTGGCTTGCTTGTACCCGATTGTAGGCCTTTACTTTCTTTTGTTCTTGTTGTTGTCTCTATTTGAAGATGTGGTAATAGCTGGATCGTGTGTGTGGAGTCCCCTTAACCCTAACTCCCTGGTGTCTTTTACTAGGCACAGGACCAAATCCATCAACATCCAACACTACCTGTGCAATCCACATTTCTTGCTGAAAAGTCCACCACTGGCTTGATGGTCTTTGCTGGTGGACCTATTGCATACGACATCACTGCTGTTGGGAGGGCAAAATGCACTGAATGCCCCAGCAGTGCTTCAGGCCTCCTGGATTTGGGATGGTTATGGTTAATCAAGTAACTGTTTATGTGGGGTGGAAGTTTGAGGAGATCCACAAGTTTAAAGTAGCATTCGATGCATCGAGATGTGTTGATATTTCGATTTGGTTTTCTTCTTCCCAGTTTCTGAAGAGCAGTGTCTTCACCAGATCAGAGTGGACGAGATGTTCCCGGATGTGGCTGGTCAGAAGACCAATGAAGAGAAAGACAAGTTAGTTCAAAACCATTGGATTTGGTATTTAGAATGGAATCGGGGGGGGGTTCTTGACAATTTGTCTTACTCACCGTTTTGGGGACCCTCTACGCATCATGCGGAAGTTGTGTCTAAAATGCACAGAGAAGCTGAGCTAAACTTGCTGATTCATATTGGGCCGGTACACACCGTGTTTTGCATCACATGTGTTTGGGGATAGCCGGGTGCTTTAAGCGAAACTGTCCTATGCTCAACAGATTTACTTTCATGGCAGTGTCATGTTTAACACCTGAATAATCCGTGTTTGTCCAAGTTTACTCAGGCGCCAGTGCTTCTGTTGAGTTCAGCGCAAGTCCTTTCCAAAGTAACTGGAAAAAACAATGGCTTGTGTCTAAGGGTGATTACTTACTCACCTAATCTTCTGGTTTCTGCCCGTCCGCTCAGACTGAAGGCAAAGAGAGCTGCCATTGGATTCACCTACGATGACGACAGCAAGGAGGCGGGGCAAGAAGAAGGGATGGAGGAGGAGGATGACAAGGATAGTGATGACGACAGCTCCTCCGATACAAGCCTCAGTGACATTGACATCGGTAGGGTGTCTCCGTAAACCCAACTCTGCTTAGATTGACTGATTGATTGATCCACTGATCCACTGAGAACCCGGGCAGGATTTCAGAATTGAGGAAGGTTTATTCTAGCCACCATTAACTTTCGTAGGGCGCTTGAGTTCTTTTGAAGTACTGAGAATAAATCATTTGTTATTTTTCACAAATGAAGCGTTAGATCAGCAGAACTATCTTTTAGTTGTACGCAATGACTAACATGTGACAGATTTCATAGATTTTTGTGAGACCCGCAAGCTGAATCATATTTTACCCAATTTGTAGACATAAACGTCGACGTGGATGAACTGACAGATGAACAGAAGGCAGAACTCAATGCAGTCGGTGAGCGATATGGCATGAAGCCCAACGAATATGTCAGGTAAGACAGCGAGGTCAAGTTGACATTTTGTGTGAAATTGGACAATGGATAAGACTCCAAAGGCCAAACTGCTTTGATAGCACACCATCTTCATCCTCAGGTGACAAGTGTGTTAAAACACAGTGCTGTATTGTGCACTTTGTCAAATCTGCATGTTTCCTCACTACAGACTAGTATTCCATGTGCACATTACCCTCGTCCTTTGCAATGGCCGTGTACCACAATACTGGCAATTCACAAAAGTGCAATAGTGCGCCTCCAAGAGTTTGCAACGTGTTGGCCAATCACAATGTGCGAAATCTGTTGCCCCAATGCAAGGGTCGACAGATTTCGCACATCATGATTGGCCAACGTGTTGCAAACTCTTGGAGGCACACTATTGCACTTTTGTGAATTGCCCGTATCGATTATCACAGGGAATGAATAAATTAAAAACTTAAACATTATGTAAACTAACCCAAAGTGTAGGCCACAGCCTGTCACCAACTATAGAGGATTTTCAGTGACGTGATTTTTGACAGTCAGCGTTCAATTTACACAGATGTGCGTGAAAACGCACCTTCGATGTCTCTCAATATTCTGGCATACAAAAAATTGCCAAATAGAAATACACAGATTTGAAAATGCACACGCCTCCACAGACGTGGAGCGCTCTCTGAAATGCCTTCGCCTGTCATGTTACGTCACGTGAAAGACCTCTCCTCCCAATGGCATCTCCTCTCTCTTCTCTGACTCTGAGTAGAATGCTAGAGAGGGACAAGAACGAACTGGACATGCAGCGGCGATTCAAGGAGATTGAAGAGGAAAAGGCCCTGTATTCAGTAAGTGCCCGAATCACTGGATGATTGGAGGGGAGGATTTGGATCCTACCGATGCAGGGCCAGGAAGAGCCAGGCATACTGTCTTGTGCATGCCACGAGGGACTTGAACACCTGAAATGGAAAGATTTCTTGAGCAGTACCAATTTTTGACGAACACTGTACTTTTAACAGCAGCAAAGGAAGGGCTCAACATCAACTGCTTATCCATATATTGCTGGGGCGCCTGGTTTTGGGCACGTAGGCTTTATATACACAAAACTGAAGAGCCCGAAACCAGACAAAAGCGCTGGGCCTTGTAAGAAAAGTCTGTACTCGGAACAAAAGACGGAGCTGCTAGGAATTGCCAACATTTTTTCAGTTGTCAATAGCGGAGGAAATCCGTCCTTGTTTTGAAAGATTATACCACTGTTTGTGACATTCAGCATGAGCGGATTACCACCGGGGACAAAAGCGTTCCAGCGCTCCAGTAATGAGTGATTTGATGAAGCTGTGATTTTTTTTGAAGAATTTTGAAAATGAAAACTCTTGAAAATCACCCGGTTTTACGTCATGTAACTTAAATTACACCCTGCAGCTGGTCCACAGGTTTTTGCTTCCTGAAATGATCTTTCAAGTTGATTGCTTTTTTCCTTAAATTCCGATAGTCTTGGCTATGCCCCTGGGTCCCAATTGCCCTTTGACCTTACTAAGTACACAGTGAGAGACAATGACCGATTAGACAGAGCACTGTCGCGCACAGTTTTCAGTGCAACAAGGACTTAGCCGCAATAATGCAGATCAGTTGGTCCGAGACTGCAGCACCTTGTGCGACAAAAATGACTTGAAGAGGATATCTGTTTATCCTCTCTCTCAGGGAAGAAAATCAAGGAGGGAAAGACGGATGCTGGTGGAGAAAAGACTGAAAGCCAGAGGAGGGGACAAGCTGAGCCCACCGAGGTTGGTCCCGTGGGAGCTTCCTTTGTTTGGTTTTGAATTTCAGTGTTTAGAACGTATTAACGGCTGTTCACAATATTACAAACAAACTTGCTGAGGATGTGGACACAGTCAGTGCATATGTATATGCTACACTGCTAGAGATTAATTTGGCTTGTAGAGATTACTACAGAAAGTGGTACCACGCGTCGCAACAGGAAATGCACGTACGTTACGTGCCTTTTTACCGTAAGGCTACTGTGATGTGCCAAATCCACGTGCATGTCATGTATAATGTTCAATTGGGTGAAATACCATCGCAGTCTTGGCATCTCTTTGGATTAAGTTTAGAACTCCCGCAGCTTAGGGTGAAGGTCTAAGTCATGATGCACATGATGTAATCTCAGTATCTTGAGGCGTGCCTTTTTAACCCTAACCTTCCCTAACCACAAAGAATTGAACAACAGTAAAGTGTGTGAATTTGTGGCACGGGGTACTGTACCCCAAAATTGCTTGTGCTTTAACCCTAACAGTCCTCAATCCTTCACCTTTTGGAGGACTGAGGACGGTTAGGGTTAACATGGGTTCAGGCATACCCAAAATAAACAGGGTCGAACAGTTTTTGTGCACAGTTTACCATATGGTGTTGGAATTCATGTGAAGGGGTATGGTTCCTAGTAAATCACTCTGGGGAGTTGGGGTTAATGGCGAAAAAAGGTAGCTCAACGAGTTCAAGATGTGACCAGTAGGTCGCAACGTTTGGTCAGTGGTTGAAAGCTATTTTTCTGTCCTTTGCAGCTACGCCAGTCGCGACAGCCCCACCTACCAGGACTACCGGCACTCCCGCTCCCGCTCGCGCAGTCGCTCCAGCAGCCCCGAGGACACGGGCAAGGTGACCTTCATCACCAGCTTTGGCGAGGAACAAGAGGAGGGGGAAAGGAGGCAGCGGCTGGCGGGGACCGGTAGCGGCAAGGCTGCCGGGAAGCCCTCCAAATCCCTGTCCGGGTCTGAGTCTCATGCCAAGTCACGGTCGGTTTGATTCCTTTGCATTGTCTGCATCATTTTCAACCCAGATCAAATGACCGGTGCAGTAGGGCAGGGGGCAGTTTTCGGTGTTATTGAGGTGAACAGATGTGGAACCTGTTACGTCTCACATTATTTTCTCTTCCTGAACAAAGAGCAAGTTGGGGGAAAAGTGTGTGTTGGGTGTTTTTTCAAAGATAGTTTTAACTGATGGAAAGATGAGTCCTGATAATCAAATGTGTTGTGAAAACAGAACCTAAATAACGAAAGTTGATGTTTTAATATAAGTAGCTAATGAGAAAAAGAAACGCATCTTCTACACTTGATGGTTTGGCTGTTATCAGTGTTGAGCACATTTTGTTGCAATGTTGATTTTTCTTCATTTCAGTAGGCATCATCGGCATTCCTCCAGTTCATCAAGGTCTCGGTCAAGATCACCAGTACACAGGAGTCACCGTTACCGCAGTAGTTCCAGATCCTCATCCCGTTCCTCCTCCAGAGGGCGCCATCGCCAAGGCTCATCCAGCTCCAGAAGTTACTCCCGATCACGTTCCCGATCCCGATCGCCCCGTCGGGCTTACCGGCGTTCGCGGTCCAGGTCCGCCGACAGGCACGGGGCCTCCCGGCATTCGTACGATCGGCACCACAGGTCAAGGTCGAGGTCCCCGCCCCGGTCATCCCACAGCTGGACGGGGAGACCCAGGTCTCGATCCCGGTCGCGGGACCGCTACCGAGGAAGATCCAGATCTCGTAGTCCAGAGAAGAGAGGTAGCAGAATTGCCGGCTCGGTGAAAAGTAAAAGGTAATTCTTTTGGTGAAAATCTGTCTCCACTGATTACAGTCAGCTCTCGTTGTGACAAGTTAAGGTTGCTGGGCCCAACCAAAGAAGCAGAATTCAAGTAAATTTTGATCCCCCAGAATTTGTTTGTTAATACAATAGTTTGTTACAATAGTCACTGATATCAAGAGTTTCTGGCAATGAACTTCAGCATACCTCAAAATGCCTGAGGCACCATAGCTCATAAGCCTGTGGAAACCTGTAGATGGGGGAAGAAGTGACAGGTTTTGAGGTGGGTGGAAAACCCACGAGGGAAAGTCGGGGTAAAACCCATGGAATCAGGTAGGGACTGACTAACCCAATCCACCTGTGGACCAAGCCGGGAATTGAAAGCGGGCCACGGAGGTGCTAGGCAAGGAAGGAACCACTACGGCAACCCAACTCCCCTCAATTTAATGCAGTTAACAACTAGGCAGTCTGAATTCTGTGCACAAACTTGTCTAGACTGCAGTGTGGTTTGTTTTGCTCCTAAGTACACAGTTTGTGACACCTGTCTTCACAGTGAAGTCGAATCCCAAGCTGTCCAAGTGTAGGAATGGACAGCTTTATAAAAGATACAGATTTGAAAGTTTCTGTTCAACCTTGCGTTTTCCATCCAATCCTGGAAATCCGATCGCTCCTCTTTCTTTCATCGTTGCAGGCCGGCAGAAAGTAGTGTGGGTAAAACTCCGGGCTCTGTCGACAAAGTCAGTAAGATTCTGTGATGTTTCAAATATTTCCATTTAGTTACTCTGAAATTGTTTGAGCAGTTGCTAGGTTTCAGAGGGGCCAGGCGACAGCTTTGAACAATTGTTCATTTTCGTTATATTTCCTTTTACTTTTCCCCCCTTTTTCTCTTTTGCACGGATAAAAAGTGTGGTGAATGGCATGAGGGAAATGGCTAGGGGATTTGTAGACTGGAGTAGTTGGTTATTTTCTGTCTAGAACAGCGGCCAAGTTACATTTCTTTGGATGACCTGATTTTTTTCAATTTGTTTACTTCAAATTGTGTGCAATTAACGATACAATTTCCTCTGTGGTTTCTGATTTCCTCCATTTTTCCCTGAAGTCTGAGTGGCATGCCTGGTCATGGCTATCCCCTCATTCACACGAATGCTGTGTTCATTTTGGCTCTTGTGACCTATTTCTGTGTGGACCTTTGCTGTTCATGTGACCCGATGGATGATTGCCTGCAGCTTTTGCTAACGAGGTTTCCAAGATGCGTACATATTGCGCTCACACTTTGTAAACACAGGCCTCGAATTTCCTCGTTTTTTTTTTTTAGGGCACTGCCATTTGGCATTGGTGGACTGGCTGAAATAAAGGGCAGTAATTCCAAACGTGAGGGTATTCCATCAGCGTACCAAAGTTATGGGCATTAATATCATCCCGTTTTTTTTCATATTGCATGAAAATGATTCAGGGCTAAGATAAAGTAGGGTGCGCATTATACCTGAACATGTCCGTGATAAGTGCTGAACCAGCAGCCGAGTTTTGAAAGGCTTCGGCCTGTTTGGACTGCAGCCGTTCTTTCCTCAGCATTTTGCGTACCACAAAAACTGGCCAGGCCAGTGATTTTGCACACAACAATGTACTTGAGAATTTATCAGGGTAGTCCGATCGACTGATGTCGTGTATGTACAGTTCGGATCGCATGCAGCGCAAAGCACTAAACTGCAAACACTACATTGGGTTGTTAGTTAAAATACTGTCACACCGGTGCGCAGCGGGCTGAGTGTACGATATTCCCACATACACACAGTGCACGCACGCCCTGCTTTATGCGTGCATGCCATGCATTTGGGTGGTGCGGCGCTATCATGGAACAATGTTTATGTTGCTTTCCATGCCGCTTTCCGAGTACTTCGCTTCGAGTCGATATGCACGTGTAAGGCACTACAGCCGAGAGAAAAAAAGGGCACTGCCGTCTTGGTGGTGAAACACGCTCACCTTTCGGAGGCATCATGGCCAAATGGGAGGGCACCAACGGCCATGGCCGTCATGGCCATCGGGAAATTCGAGGCCTGTAAATAGTGGGCAGCGTTGCACGTGTACATCTTGCACTTGTGGCCTGACCCATTGCCAAAAAAGGTAGCACCGGCAGGAAATAAGACAAGCAAACTATTATGTAAATTTAAGCTGATATTCTAATGTTAACTGTATGCATTGCAACTCATTTCTGCACCCCCAATAGCAGTCAAAAAAACTGTAATATGCACCTAAATTACTCAGGGCAGCATGACTCAGTTTAAGTATGGCACTGTTTCTTCTTTTTTTTTTTCTTTAGTATGTAGCATGGGTTACACTGGTTTTTCCCCTGGGGTGGGGGGTTTGGGCCTCATTTTTAGGGGGGCTAGTATTATGTAGCATGGGTTGCACTGGTTTTCCCCCTGGGGTGGGGGGTTTGGGCCTCATTTTTAAGGGGGGGCTAGTGTAATTGAAGCCCCAACCCAAGGTATGCATGGACAGACTAGTGGTCATATAAATATGCGTAGATTGACTATTGATGCAGTGACTGCTTTAAAATTGGGCAAAGTTGACTGCAGAAATTGTTTGAGATAAAGATGACTGGATTGGAAAAATAGTGTTTGGGAGGACAAAGGAAGCAGTGGTTTTCGTCCTGTGAGTTTGTCTTACTTTGGTAAAGTTCAAAAGGATAACGAGCTCTACATCCCTCAAAGTTTTGGCTCTTGTATGATATTGTCTCTTGTCTGCAGTCTTTGTTTTTATCTTTAAGTCACTAAGTACATAAAGATTCACAATGAACTTCCTAGTTAGATTTTTTTCTGGAAACCTTCCTGGATTTCCAAAATCAACCAATCAACCAGTGGTACTTTGTCGTACTAAAACTAGCCAGGGACACCAGGTCCCGTGCAGAGTAACTGTGGCTAGTCTTGAATCGATCCTCAACAGTTCTTCAACGCCTTCTGGTGCCTGTCACAACAAGA